AATAAGAGCGGTCTGAGTACACTCCCCTGCGGGACACCAGATGTTATTTGATAGGGTGCCGAGTGTGAGCCGCCATCATTCCGCACAGCCAGCGTGCGGAGGCTCAAGTAACTGGCAAACCATCGTATGGTCATGTCATCGCATTCAACCTCACGCAAACGCATGAGCAATTTGTGGTGTGGAATAGAGTCGGACGCCTTGGAAAAATCGAATGAAACTACTATTGCGATCTCGCGCTTATCAATGGCGGTACGGACACGCTCAGTGACGTCCAAAATACCTGGTGGAGTGACTTGGACGAAAATCGTGCTGATGAGGTGTGAGAAGGTTATGTTCGATTAGGTGTGACAAGAGTTGGGAGTGAATGACGCGTTCGAGTAATTTTGATATTTCAGGCATTAGGGCAATGGGGCGAGTATAGTTCATTGATGCGGGCGTAGATGTTTTTGATAGTTGTATGATGGAAGCGTGTTTCCATGCGGAGGGAAAAGTTGATGAAGCTATGGAGGCGTTGAAGATAGATGAAAGGGGAGCTGACAGCGACTGTGAGGCAAGCATTAACATCGGCGAGATGATTCCGTCTATGCCTATGGATTTAGATGATATGCTGGAAAAAAGCTTGGTAACGTATGAAGGAGTGATAGGTTGGAGGGTAAACGTTGTATGCGCGTTTGGAAGTGGAGATGAGCAGATTGAGTTTACTATTTCTGGGGGTAATGGCCGTGAACAGGTGGAAATACGTGCGTAATGCTGCACGAGGGTGTCCGCAGTAAAATGTAGAAGGGGTGACAGGTGCCCCGTGGATAGTACGCAGTTGGAAAGTGCCTCGTGTCCAACTTAGATGCATAGTATGTATTTTTATTCGTGTCCATCCTGCAGTGCGCCTCTGCACGCAGGACTCGGTATTGACAGAGGTCCACGTTGCAGCGACAACGACGGAAACGGCATTAAGCGCGATCACGCGCACGCATTAGTGAACGCACTTCAGAGTCCACCCATGGCTTATGACGCGTTGAAAACGTTGCTGGTCTTAAAGGGGTCACATCATCAGCAGCCGATTGAATAGCGTCAGTGAGCGAGAAGACAGCCGTACCGAGGCTAGGGCCGCACATCGAGTTGGGTAGTAGGTGTACCGAGTTCAGCTGATGTAAAATGGTGCTGTTCAATGTATGGGAGGTTACAGTAAGCCAGGATCGCACCATACGGATCGTACAAGAGCGTACTAGTGCCTCTGAAGTTGGTAGACGAAAAATTTGTTACCGCGCACGTATCTTTATTCTCTACTAGGTATACATACTCCCAAGTCACGAAGCAAAGAGTATTGAGACGCACGTTTAAGAGTGGGGGCATACGTTTTCTTTCTCTATCTCTCTCTCGCCTTCGAACGGCATGCGAGCTTGGTATCAACTATACACAGCGTGTGTATTACAACGGACCCCTTCCATGATCATTTAGCGGTCTCCCACTCAGCGTGAACGTCATAGACATTCTCTTCTCGCTTTGTGTTCACTGTTCTGTCAAGTGTGTTAAGCTTACAACGTGACTCATGCAAACAATTTCTAAAATTGCGATCCAAAAAGGTGTAGAGAGATAAACTTTTTTTTTAACGAAAAAAATCGTGTATTCTTCGTAAATATTCTCAATTTGTGAAAATATATTATCGTGACTCGTGCATTAGCTTTGTTTACTTTTGATTTGGCGATCATAGGATCGTATAATTTACCATTGGACGAAACAGAAGTAAGACCTGAAGCTGTTTGGATTGCATAAAGAGTAAGTATCAATGCAATTATTTCATTGTGTAGAGCACTGCACTTCAGCGCGCATTTATTTAATCATATAGAGTCCTGTAGAACATTCGCGAGATCTATCATTTGTTTTTTTTATTCGTTGGTTCGTAGAAATCGCCCTCTCTCTCTCTCTCTCTCTTTCTTTATCAAACGCCCATTATACGTGCGCGCGAATCGTGGCCAGCAAAAACCTGTCGAAGATATGCAAATTCACGGCGAACATTATTTGCCAATTATCTCGAACATTGTAGGTGGTGGTGGATTACGTTTGACATTATACAGCATCGTGATGAGATCGTGACCGGCCGCGAATGGAACCAACGATTTAGAATGCTCCAAAACCAGGCTAGGGTCTTTCACGATGCATAGGTCCAGACAGGTTTCACGCAGTGAACCATATGCTAAGATGACATGATGAGTTGGCTCGCTATTGATAATGTAGAGGTTGTAAGCGGAGAGCAAGTGCTTTAGGTAGATCGAATGCCGATTCTTATATTTCAATGTGTTGATGTTGAAATCTCCACTAATTATGACGTGATCAAAGGATGGCATGAAATAAGAAAGTTTATCTAAAAATACTATTGGGTAGCATGAATTTGGACGACGATATATGACAGCGAATAGAAGTTTAAAGGCAGGTAGTGTAGTTGGAGTTATGGAACAGATGAGGTATTCGGAGTAGCTAGAAAAAATGGGATTTGATGCACAGAGAATGGAGACCCTTGAGTCATTTCTTCGGATCTTTACGGTAAATATTATAGTTGGGAAGTGAAAAAAGGGCTGAATTAATGTGTGGTTTCAGAAAGGTTTCATTTAAGGCTATTATATCGTATGAGTTTGATGATGAAATGTGTTCAATGCTATTGAAATGAGAGGGTAGACGATTGATGTTGGAAAACGCGATACTTAGAGTGTGGGGGTGGGAGCTGGCGGGGGCCGGATGGTATGATATAGCTCCCGCTGCGTCCACTCAACTGGAGGGCTCGGCGGCGTCATGCACAGCCCCGCACTGCCTAGGCTGGAGCTGGTTCAGCACCAAAATTGGTTGCACGCCAAGAGCAGATTGCATATACACACACAGGCCACGTCGGACGGGCGTGAGATAATTTTGCTCGCGAGAGCGACGCTGCGCCGCGCGCAGCAAGCTGTATACGTGGGGTGGTAAGATGACCGAGATAGTGAGGGGAGCCGCCTCCTTCATGTCAAAAAGATGCGAGAGAGATGCGCCAGACGCACGCCGGTACGCCCGGGCGGCCTCGTCGCGCCAGGCAGCACACGAAAAGCGGACCACCATCGTCTTGGTGGCGGTATGAACAGAAGCGGTCGAGGGGCCATCCAGGCGGCGTACGCGCCACTCGCGCACACTAACAATGTGCGGACATAGCCTGGCTAAGTCTAGCACTTGCAATATTCTTTCAGCGGTACGGAGCGACATCTCAGCCGAAAGCGGCAGTCCATCCAAGCGTACCTCATACTCGTCTTGATGTGCCGGGTCAGTAGATGAATCCGAGGCAGCCCCAAGCGCGCCCCAGCTGGGCTCAGCCTCTAAAAGGGCATCCAAGCGTTCGGAGAGGAAGGCGGTCGAGGCGGGCAAACAGTGATGCCACCAGATTAGGGGTCAAAACCGTAGATTGTCCGGCAGTAGCGGGTGTACTCTGAGAGGCAGGGGGCACATTCAAACGCGGCATGGCAGATTGTGTCGCAGAAGTGTGCAGTACCGAAGTAGGCGTCGCTGAGTCGACTTGGAGAGGGGAGCCTCGTGCAGGCATGGCCGTAGCAATTGTAGATGCGCCAAGAGGCGGACTCTCTGGAGCGCGTCTTTTTTTGCGCTGAGTGCAAGCTGCAGTGGTGCCGGTCCCAGGCACAGTTGCGCGCTTTAATGAGCTGCGAAACTGAGTACGAGTCTCAGTGGGTTTCGCTGGCGAAGGTGATTGAGTCTTGCGGATACCGGTCCGCAAGGAAGATACCCGAGCGATAGCCCCCGTCCCTCGTTGAGCAGGTTTTACGGCTACCGTCCGACTGTGCTTCAGTGAACAATTTGAGGCTGATTGTGAAGAACGAAGGAGCTTGGATTTAGGAGGAACTATCGGTAGGGGGTCTACGGATAGTGGTGGTAAGGTAGGAGTAGTGGATGACGGGGAAGAGAACGACTCGAGTGGCTAAAGCGGCTAGGGATGGACAGTCAAACTGTCAAGGGATGAGAGATCGGGCAGGGAAGAGGTAGATGGGAGTATCACTGCGTCTTCTCTAGAAGTAAATAATAACAAAAATTTATAACTTGATACATTGTAAAACAATTTATTTGTATTATACTATAAAAAAATAATCAATCTGAATTAATTTTATTCATATACACTGAATATTTACATTGATCATAAAGTTAAACTATTAAATAACATAATCATTTGATCCCATTGAACAAAACAAAAAACACAACAATTTTTATTTTATAATTAACAATACATTCCACATTTTTATAAAATAATGCTTAACTAAATTAAAGATATAAATAATGAATTTTATTTAACATACTCTCACAAAAAATCTTTATTGAAAGTTAATCTCAGTATTGATTGGTTTTTTCCTTTAAATTTATATAATTATAAATCAAAATCGATGTTATAATAAGTTCTTTAAATGAATACGGAATTTCAATATTATTTAAAACCAGATTCAACGCTTGATGCGAGACTTATAGTATATCATTCTGTTACTGGTATTATAGATTATCATAAAAGTAATAACATGGTTTTTTGAAAACATTGTCGGAGCAGTGTTGTTCCGAGACAAATTCTACTGTTCTATGGTGAAGAGTACTGGTGGTGCTCTGACGTCTGAGTTTCGAAACTCAGATTATATCTAGAATTACACTAAGAAATACTATTAATTCTATTCGCGCCCTAAAAACGACTGCTTAGTTTTCAGTTTCAGAACTCAGACGTCAGAGCACCACCAGTACTCTTCGCCATAGAACAAGAGCGTAAAGTTTGCCCCGAACCAATGGTACGTCTGAGTTCAAACCGGATTTTTGCTTTCCTGATTTTTCATGTTCTAATATTTATCCTCCAACTTTCATCTGTTTCATAAGATACGCAGTTGTAAGCGCCTAAACATCGTTTCATTTTATTAATGTTTGAGACTTATCAGATTCTGGTGGGCTTGTATGAGTTCCGCTTGCACGAATACTTAATTCAATATGATTTTCGTTACTATCGACTTGGGGATTCGCAGCTTCTGAATCATTTTCCACTGCCGCAGATTGATCGTCCCAAATCTGCCTTTCAGTCGATCCAAACACTTGGAAAACTACAGCTCCTATTAACCAAATAGCCGCTGTTAAGGAAAAAAGGGTTTTCCACTGATCTGGGTTAGTGGCATCTGTAACGATGGCGCCATGTACTAAGGGTGCAGCGGCGGCACCAATATTAGCGATGGTATTCAAATTGCCCATGAGAAGTCCAGCGTGATTCGATGAAAGATCCAAATGATTGGCATGGTGACCACTGTATATGGTTATGTTTGTAGTTATTCCGATGTATAATAGAATTATCGCGAAAACTGAATTTTCAGAGTTAGTATAGCCGAGAACCAATATGCAAAGTGCAGGCACGACCATCCCAAAACCATTCCACAGCATACGTGATGACCTCGTGGTTAAAGTTCCATTTTTTATAAGCATGTGATTGAGCCAAATCACCAGCAAACTAAATGTAAACGCGGTAAAATACGGTAAGCCTGAATGAGTGCCGATCTACAGAATGAAAAGAAAAAAAACATAATGAAATAAAAAATTCCTTTAATTTTAAAATTATGCAAAATGTTCAAATAATATATTACTCACGGTGGTCAAATCCATTTTCAATATTTTATCCAAGTATTCCGGACTCTTGGTTGCCAGCATCCAAAAACAAAATGTCTGAGAGCATTGAGCTACTAGAAGCGCATATACTGGACCAGACGATGCTATGGATTTCCAGGGAAAAGGTCCAGGCGCTTTTTGTTCATGATTTCGTGAATTCATAATGTAATTTTTTTCTTCGACAGATATCGACGAATGACGGTTGGGGCTTTCACATCCATAGAATATCCAACCAATTGCCCACAAAATGGTGATTCCTCCCCATAATGTAAAACAATACTCCCACCCCTTTGGGTCAATTGAAGAAATAACTCCGGATAAGAAGAAAGAACAAACATTTCCGAACCAGCCCGCGCCGTACACTATTGAAACTAAAATAAAAGAGTTTGTCATTAACAACATTCTGATTTACAGCCAAAAAATGAAGGTTTATGAATTTATTGTGAGGAATGAACAATATATATATAAAAATCGGAGAAAATGGTAACAAGAATGTAAGTGTAAATGGGTTGCTCTGTGTGAATTGTAGACTGAAAAATATATATAAGGAAAGAGTCCCTTAGTGTATGTTTGTAAGTGTGTGTGAGAGTGAGTATGTATGTTGACAGTTGAGTATATACATCATGAGGTTCGAATGAGGAAATCAGTATAGAGCTGAAAGTGTGAGAGTTGGGACTAACGATAATAATTGAGATAATTGTCGTTTCTCGATTTACAGGTATAATTTGTAAATAGTAATTTATAAGTTTAGTTAATTTATGTTTAATAAAAATTACTCGATTTACAGAGCAACAAAAAAATCAATTTATTGATAAAACCCCAACATCTTTCACATTATAAAACGACAATTTTCTGTCAAGATTTAGTCACTATGGAAAAGTTACAATTTGAGGTGATTATGAAAGGAGCGGCAGATGGAAAAACTAATATTATGTGTGTTAATTCGATTGCTACGCAGCACGGAGATAGATATAGTTTACCGCTAGAACTGCAACCAGCAGCACTGCATAAAGAATTTGTGAAAACAACGGTGCATGAGAGAGTGAAAAATGTATTAAAAAAAAGACATCAAAAACGCTCAGTTTGGGTAGAGTTAACGGAAGAGTTAAAGAAATCTTATTTTGATGAATGTGGAAATATCATTTTCGAAGACACATTATTGGAAGAGTTTGTAGAAGCTTTGGAGGAAACTAAAAGTGAAGAGAGTTTAGCAGATGTAGTGAAGCAATTGATGCAAAAAGAATCAGTTACCAAAAATTTGAGGAAAGTATCAGAGAAATTTAATATTGAAAAGTATTCGGGTAAGAACGTAAACGTAGTACAGTGGCTAGATTTGTTCGAGGAAGAATGTGTCCGATTCGATATAGTTGAAGATGAGAAAATTATTGAAGTGTTTAGATACTTCTTAGATAAAAATAGTTTAGATTGGTATAGTTCTATGCTGATAAAGGAAACTGCTGGTTCCAATTGGAGTGTGTGGAGAAAAAAATTTTTGGAGACGTACACAAAAAAAGGTTGGAATTCGGTCACGTACGCTTTGTCTTTTAAATTTATTGAGGGCTCGCTTGTGGATTATGCGGTGAAGAAAAAACGCTTGTTGTTAGAATTAAGGAAAACAATGGACATCGGAACAGTTATTGATTTGATTTCATGGGGTCTACCAAGATTTATTTTGAATAAGATAGAGAGAGATAATTTAAAGCAAATTGAAGATTTATACTGTGAATTAAATAAATATGAATATCTAGTGAAGAAAGGTACATCCAAATCAGAGGTAAATACGGTCAACGAGAGTTATAACTCAAGAAAAGTAGAATCAAAACAAGCTTGTCAAGTATGTTTGAAATTGAATAAAGGCAAACGATATCACCCGGAAGATATATGCTGGTTTAATGGTAAAAATGAAAATAAAGGGAAAGAGCTTAGAAACAGACAAGTAAACAATGTAGCTTTGGAAGTAGATGATTTTTGCGAGGAAGAAAAAAACTAAGAGTCACACCATTAATCACAATAAACTTAAAAATAAATGATACTGTTGAAGTCGTGGCTATATATGATTCAGGAGCAAATGTCTCTCTGATAAGTTCCAAATTAATTAAAATAAAAGCAAAAAAAGTAAAGAATAGTCAGCGATTCAAGGTACAAACGATTGATGGTGTGAAGGAAACTCTCGGAATGATTAAAATTCAAATAGAAATAGGAAGTATAAAAAAAGTAATGAGGGTATTTGTAGTAGACAAAAAAGAAATGCGACGAGATTTTTTACTTGGATTGGATATGATTCAAGAATTTAGATTGAATCAAGATGAAAAGTTAAAAATTACGCAAGTATTGGAAAGTCCCAAGATCAAAGAAAATTATGAAAATAAAAATGAAAATGAAGTTTTGATCAATTTTAATGAGTATATTTATGAGAGTGATTTTGCAATTAAGATAGATCATTTAAATTATCAGCAAAGACAAGTGATTGAAAGTATAGTAGATAAGTATAAGCAAGTTTTTGCAAAAGACAAGTATGATGTGGGGATGGTAAAAAAATACGAGGCTCATATAGACTTACAAGTTGATAAATTTTGCAGTAAGCGACCATATAGGTGTAGCATCGAAGACAGAAAAGAAATAGAGATGCAAATTTCAAAGCTGCTTGAAAAGAATTTAATAGAAGAGTCATATAGCCCGTTTGCTGCGCCAGTGACATTAGTATTTAAAAAAGAAGATAATAAAAGATCAAGGATGTGTATTGATTTTAGAGAGCTGAATAAAATCGTAGTACCGCAGGCGCAACCGTTCCCATTGATTCAGGACTTGGTAGTCAAGGTTAGAAATTGTAAATATTTTACGTCTCTGGATATTAATTCGGCTTTTTGGGCCATCCCGTTACGTGTCAAGGATAGATGTAAAACAGGATTTGTCACACAAGAAGGGCATTTCCAGTGGACGGTTCTGCCATTTGGATTAAAGACCGCGTCTGCAATTTTCCAAAGGATTCTTAGTAGTATCCTAAGAAAATATAATTTAACAGATTTTGCAGTAAATTATATTGATGACGTTTTGATATTTTCTAAATCATTTGATGAGCACGCTAAACATATTTCAATGGTGTTTGAAGCAATCATTATAGAGGGATTTAGAGTAAAATTCACAAAGTGTAATTTTGCAAATAATTCGGTCAAGTATTTGGGACATATTATAGGATTCAATACAGTAAGGCCTCTAAAAGATAATTTAGTTTCAATAAGAGAATTTCCTACACCGAAAAATCAAAAAAATGTTCGGCAATTTGTAGGTAAAATAAATTTTTATCATGAATATATTCCGAAGATAACAACAATTTTGGAGCCGTTACACAAGTTATTAAGAAAAAATGAACCCTTTGTATGGTCTGCTGAGTGCGAGGAGGCGTTTGAGAAGATAAAAGGATTACTTTGTTCTCAGCCAGTGTTGGAAATATTTGATAGAGAATTACCTATAATAATCTATACTGATGCGAGTCTGGTAGGAATTGGTGCGGTGTTAAAGCAAATTCAACTTAATGGTGAAGAAAAAACTGTGGCATTTTTTTCAAAAAAATTGAATGAAAGTCAGAAAAAGAAAAAAGCTGTATTTTTAGAGTGTCTGGCAATTAAAGAAGCAATAGCATTTTGGAAATATTGGCTAATGGGAAAGTCTTTTATAATTTACACGGATCATAAACCCCTGGAGAAGTTGAATTTGAAGTCACGTATTGATGAAGAACTAGGAGAACTCACGTATTATATATCGCAATTTGATGTAGAAATAAAATATGCACCAGGAAAAAACAATATAGAAGCTGACTGTCTCAGTCGAAATCCGGTACTGGATGCAAGTGAGAAGTATAAGGAAATACTAGAAGTGGTGAATTCAGTGGAGTTGATAGATATTGTAAAAGATCAAGAGGAAAATGTTCTTTTAAGTGCTGAAAAAGGAGTAGCGAAGAAAAATAATATTTATTATAAAAAAGGAAGAAAAAGAGATAAAATTTTATTAACAGAAGAATTTAGTAAAAAATTAATAAAAAAAATACACGAAGATATGTGCCATATAGGCATTAAACAATTACAAATGAAGATAAGTCCAATATATACAGCTAAAAATCTTAGTAAAAATATTAAAAAAATATGCTATCAGTGTGCAACATGCATCAAGAATAAGTCGAGAAGAAATGATAAGATCGGATTGATGTCGCAGTTAGGTCCAGCATCAAGACCTTTTGAAATTGTTTCGATTGACACCATTGGAGGTTTTGGAGGTTCCCGATCGACAAAAAAATATCTGCATCTGTTAGAAGATCATTTCACAAGATTTGCTTATATATTATCATCAAAGACTCAAAATGCACAAGACTTTATAAAGCTATTAAAAAAAATACCAGATATGACGGAGATTGGCATGGTGCTCACTGATCAGTATCCGGGAATAAATTCCACTGAGTTTAAGGCGTTTTTGTCGGATAGAAATATTCCAATAGTTTTCACAGCAGTGAATGCACCATTTTCAAATGGCCTGAATGAGAGGCTAAATCAAACTCTAGTCAATAAAATCAGGTGTAAAATGAACGAAAAAAGAGAAAAAAAGCGTGGACAACGGTGGCACAAGAATGTGTTGATAAGTATAATGAAACCGAGCATACGGTTACAGGATATGCTCCGAAATATCTATTAAATGGCACGGATGTAAGGTTATTACCAGAAGAATTGAAAGAAACAGAAACTAGTAAAAATTTATTTAATGATAGAGAAATAGCATTAAAAAATTCTATAAGATCACATGAATACAATAAAAAGAGATTTGATAAAAATAGGAAAGAATATAATTTTAAAATTGGTGAGAAAGTTTTTGTAGAAAATGGCAATAAATTAAATAGAAAAAAACTTGATGAAGTAAGAATTGGTCCGTATACGATAGTGGAAAAAATATCAAATTCAATGTATAAAATAGATACGGGTTTCAGAAAATATGAATCTAATATCTTTCATGTAACAAAATTAATTCCATACAATAGTGATTGTGTTTAATGATAGTACTCCTGTGGGAGGGGGAGATATAAGGAAAGAGTCCCTTAGTGTATGTTTGTAAGTGTGTGTGAGAGTGAGTATGTATGTTGACAGTTGAGTATATACATCATGAGGTTCGAATGAGGAAATCAGTATAGAGCTGAAAGTGTGAGAGTTGGGACTAACGATAATAATTGAGATAATTGTCGTTTCTCGATTTACAGGTATAATTTGTAAATAGTAATTTATAAGTTTAGTTAATTTATGTTTAATAAAAATTACTCGATTTACAGAGCAACACAAAAATCAATTTATTGATAAAACCCCAACATCTTTCACATTATATATATATTGTATATTTACCGAATATTGATCTTTCTTTTTCTGCAGCCCAACGGGAAAGGAAGGTATGCAACGTAGGCATCACAACTCCTTGGCATAGTCCACATACAATCCTACATATGCACACCAACCACACTCCTTGAGATGCCGCAAACGGAATCAACATAGTGCAGACACCGCATAAGGCCACAGACAGTCCAAAAAATATTTTACCGTACCTTTTTCGAGCAATCATTCCTCCAGGTACTTGAGTTACTACGTACCCCATGAAAAAGGTACTCAATATAAAATTTTCCTCTTTCGCGGTCCAATCGTATCTTGGGTCAGCAGATTCGCTTGTCATGGCCACAATTGTTACGTTCATTACTACTCGCATGGCGTAACATAAAAAGAAACTGGCCGCAAGCAGAATTACCTGGTTATACCGTTTTCCGAAGCCTAAAAAATGAAAATATATTAATTATTGTCCAATTATTTTCAAAACATTTGAGAAGAGGATATTATATATCTACTAAAATCGAGCTGAATTGAATAGAAAGTCAAAAAAAAATTCCAATGAACGGTACAGCGCTATTTTGTTCTTAATATAAATTAAGACAATTTCCGATGGGACTTTTTGAAATTGTAAGATTTTACATGAAAGATCGATATATTTTTAAAAAAACATAGTTTTCATTGAGAAATTTTACATTCCAAAAAGGCTCCATCGAGAATCGTCTTAATTTTCAATGAAAAAATAAGATTGTGCCGTAGAATTCAATAATATTTTACTATCATATGCTTTTGATTTGTTTAAGGAAGGTCTTCAAGGTTACAAAATGAGTATGCTGCTTTAAAATGATAATGTTTGTCACATAGTGAAAGAAAGATATTTTTGATCTGATATTACGAGAAAAGATTATTTGACTACGATTGAAATTATTGAGGATTGAACCGTATCGCAGCGCCTTATGTGAACATCCCATAAAAACTAGAGGAATAAGGTAAAATAAGCCATACCCTATTTCTCTAGTTCTTATGTCAATTGACATTGAATGCATAGAGGTGCCGTAGTATCGTTCAGTCCTTTATAAAATTTTTTTATCGCGCTTTTCATAAAACTTTGCTGTTGTTATGGAACAAATGTACAGGGTCTCAACTGTGAGCTCGTCGAGCATATTGGCTCGATGTAAAGTGGCAAAAGGCTGCATGCAGAGAAGTTCGAGCTCGGAGACAGACGCAAAAACCTGCTGGCTGTACAGTACAGAAAAATGGACTTAAACGTTTATTTCCTATTTTTCCTAGTGAACGTGTAAATTATTGAAAAATCCGACTACACCATGAAAAAAGCTGAGAAAATTTCCTATCGAAAGCATATCTTCATTTATTTTTTGAGTCAAATTACGAGCGAGTTTTGATTGTAGCGAGCTGTACAACGCTGAAAACTTCGCGACCGCTATTGTAGCATCTAGGCAACTGAAAACAGCGGTCGCAGTAAAAGAAATTCGCTTGTATATGATTGTAATTAGACGGAAAAAATAAATAAAGACATGTTTTCGATACGAAATGCCCTCAGCTTTCTGATGGTAGTATCAGATTTTCCGAAATATTCAATTTTCCTTACAAAAATTCAAAAATAAACCATGAAAAGCACTTTTTGCGTACCGATTTTTTAGAGATATTTAGCTCGGCATGTTTGGTGTGATTTTCTCGGTGAATATGCAATAGGGTGTCCGTTATTTCCCGACTTTTTTGTATTGCTTCTCCCCCCACCTAGATGTCTTCTATTTGATAAGACAATAAGAAAGCCGGGTTATAGAGTTCGAAAAAATGATTTTAAGGTGGCCCCCAAGCGGCTTGAAGCTTACATGTATTTTAAATTGGAAAAACTTAAAAATTTGATTCTCAGCGATAAAAATGATGAAAAAATTTGAAAAAATTCAGCAAGCCATGTATTTTATGTATTTTTTGATGAGGAATCGATTGGTGACCTTGAATTTGACCTTGAACATAACCTCAAAGCTACAGCGAACCAAAAATCGTTTTTTTCACAGTGACCCCCATTTTTTATTGCAGATTCGAAAAGAGCGGAAAATTTCATGTCTGATTATGTCTTTCGATTTTTTTTCAAGGGTATTCAAAAGGCGCTGCAAATATAGATAAAGCCCTAACTAGTAAAAATTCGAAAATTGCACGCTAAAATTAGGGTTTTATTTGTATCTGTAGCATCTTTATAATGCCCTTGAAAAAACATCAAAAGACTTAATTTGACTTGAAATTTTCCGCTCTTTTCGAATCTGCAATAAAAAGTGGGGGTTACCGCAAAAAAAACGATTTTTCTCAATATTTTGTTCGCTGTAGCTTTGAGGTTATGTTCAAGATCAAATTCAAGGTCCCCAATCGATTCCTCGTCAAAAAATGCATAAAATACATGGGTTTGTGAATTTTTTCAAATTTTTTCATTATTTTTAACGCTGAGAATCAAATTTTTAAGTTTTTCCCATTTAAAATACATGTAAGCTTCAAGCCGCTTGGAGGCCACCTTAAAATCGTTTTTTCGAACTCTATAACTCGTCTTTCTCATTGTCTAATCAAATAGAAGAAATCTAGGTGGGGGAGAAGCAATAAAAAAAGGGTGGTGGACATAACGGACACCCTAATATGCAATGTATCGAAAAATTTGATATCACGATTTGAAAGCTGAGAAAATTTCCTATCGAATGGAGTAGTCAGTCAATTTTTTTAAATAAGTTTTGATACTTTTGCAGCCACTTATAAATTAAGTGAATTGTCGTATTTACACGAAAACATGACTTTTCGGGCCTTAAAACACAAAAGTAGACAGAAAAAAATTACCCATCTTTAAAATTCATGTTCACGCATTTTTTTAGCTTCCTAGAACCTTCAAGAACAATACCCAATGTTCATAGTATGCGTCCAACGAAAAAAAATATTCTGTTTTTTGGTCAAAAAATTCGGAAATAAATTCCGGAATTGCTCATATACGGGGCGAAATTTCTCAAACCTCCTAGCGCCTCGCTCAACAGCGTTTTTGAGCGGAATTGCTCAATTTCTAACTCGCTCTAAAAGTACCTAAACTAATCTGGAAAAAATAACTAACCAGTGATTTCGATAGGAAATTTTCTTAGCTTACAGATGGTGAGGTCCGATTTTCCATTTTCATCTCGGAAAATGCAAGTAAACTTTCAAACTCGAATATCTTAAAAAGTGCCTTTTTTTGCGTTTTTTATTGTTTCAACGGAAAGCTGAGGTCTTTTTACATAAATAACAGTTGTTTTCAAAGTGTAATACACATAATTTCTATGAGAGATACGAGCCAACATAGTCGGCGCTCGGCCGCCCAAAAGCGCAACTCGTGACTCGCTGTAATCGCAACACTCACAAATGACAATGTAATTCGACTAGAAAAATAATTAAAAACATGGTTTTTATGCATTTTTTCTCAGCTTACTCGTGATGCAGTCGGATTTTCCAATAATTTACACGTTCATTGGGAAAAATAGGAAATAAACGTTCAAGTCCATTTTCCTGTACTAAAATGAAAATTATCAAAAGATCCGACTACACCACATGAAGCTGAGAAAAAATGCATAAAAACCATGTTCTTAATTATTTTTCTAGTCGAATTACATTGTCATTTGTGCGAGTTGCGATTACAGCGAGTCACGAGTTGCGCTTTTGGGCGGCCGAACGGCCGAGCGCCGACTATGTTGGCTCGTATCTCTTATAGAAATTATGTGTATTACACTTTGAAAAAAACTGTTATTTATGTAAAAAGACCTCAGCTTTCCGTTGAAACAATAAAAAATGCAAAAAAAGGCACTTTTTGAGATATTCGATCTTGAAAGTTTACTTGCATTTTCCAAGATGAAAATGGAAAATCAGACCTCACCATCTGCAAGTTGAGCAAATTTCCTATCGAAACACTGGTTAGTTATTTTTTCCAGGTTCGTTTAGATACTTTTAGAGCGAGTTAGAAATTGAGCAATTTCGCTCAAAAACGCTGTTGGGCCAGGCGCTAGGAGTTTTGAGAAATTTCGCCCCATATACGGCTCTTCACATAATACAAAAGATCATCCAACAAGATAAAACTTATATCAATCGATTTCTTAGATCTTCAAAATGAGATTCCAAAAAAAATAATATGTGGTTGACGATCAAACTTTCGAGATAAACAAGTTAAAAAATGGCGATTTTAACACGGGCTCTTCTGGGACGCGGTCTTTTATTGTTTATAACTAATTTAAAAGATCAACCATCTTAATAAAAAATATATTTTTTGAAAGAGAAAGTTCTAAGCTTTCGATTGGTATACCAATATGTTAAAAATTACCCCTTAACGAACTAACTTATGAGTAATTAAACAAAATCATTGATTTCGAATAGTGTGAGCGGTTATCTGCCTAATTTGAGAATGAGACAGACAGATGCCTCGAGAAAGAGACAAACAGATGCCTCGCTGTACTATTATTATGATTGGTGTAGAGCCTCCTTAACAGGTCTTTTTAACTTATTTTGTATAAAAACTGAGATAATGCTAGGCAATTGTAAAAATAATTTCATCGTTTCACTAAATTAGAATTTAAAAAATATTAAACTAATTTATATGATTCAAGTTATCTTTATCGTGATTTCTTTATCTATGAACTATACTTTATGACCTAATCGAATGATTTTTCTTCTTTACAAAACGTGAAAAATTGCGTTTATTTGAGAACAATCATTTGTAATAATTCAATCATCCATCACATTAATTAATTTTAATTAATATGATAATTTAATTAATTAATAAGGTGTATCAAGTGTCTATTTTTAGCAGAAGTTGGCTTTTGAATGTGAATAAATTTGCAGAAAAATTGAATTTTCATTTGAGTTTTTTTCGACTAAAAGTCATCATTCGAAAAATTACAAAAAAATAGTATCAATAAATTATTCAGATTCACCTCGTAATAGTCATTAATATATAAAAATTGTCACGTTACGATAACACGCGTGTAAGTAAAAGTCTAAGAAATTCTATATGTATTATGGTACACCAAGTATGGTCGAAATCCACATGCATACAAATTCCAATTGATAAAATTTTTGCGATTTTTTATTTGTAAATAATATTTCATTTCAGTGTAAAACTTGATACAAAAATTAAATCATATTAGAGTCATAATAAATATAAAGAAAGAAAAAAATATCTGTTCAAACGATGGCACTCGGATTTTTAAAATTTTTTCAGGTCAATAAGTTGATAAACACGGATAATGCATATGAGTACTTTGAATAAAATGAATTTTTTGTTTTTTATGGAAAATTTCAAAGTGTCTAGTATTTCTACTTTTTTCAACTAATCTTTGACTGAATGGCAAATATTGAGAAACATTCATGTACAAATGATGAAAACATTTATTTACAGATTATATACCTTTTGGCTTGGGAAATTCTTCCTTTTGCGTACTATTTTCGATGTCTTGTTGAGATGAAGCTTCCATCTTGTAGATAAACTTAACAATTTTTCACAATTTGTATAAAGTCCAACACTTGCTTCACTTAAAAGATTACACTAGCAGTTCGATCTGTACAAAAAGGCAATAGGCTCTTGACTGAGCACGTGTAGGCGCTTAAAATTCTTTAACCATCATAGATCTTTTTATCCCTACTTCCAATAATTTTTTTGAATTCCACCTGATAATTGTAACGATGCCATTAACTCCAAATCTCATACTTAGTATTTTGTCTAATTGATAATAAAGCGTCGCCCAAACGAATTAATTATCAATTAACTAACTAATTACTAGCATAAAAAGATAAGCACTTGAAATCAGATAACTAGACTACAAAGATACACATTGTAGCCTTTGAAGAAGTTCACCAATGATTAAAAAATAAAAAATAATGGTTTTGAATATAAATAAATAGATATCATACTTGTAAAGAATTTATTTAACTTAAAATATATTATATTTTTACTCGAAAGGGGGAAAGATATGAAAAAAGTATTGATAGTTTGATCCATATACTTAGCACAATTATTTAGATCCTTTATTTGACCATAGTTTTTTTTTATTCGAAATTTTATTATTTCTATGTGTTATTTATTATTAGAGAAGATATGTGTCGCAAAGCTCGCCTTGAACCAGCAGCCCGCTCGACACTGAAGCGCCTCATATATTTTATTATACTTTATAATTAAGTATAATCATAGTTTTGAACTACCATAAAGAAAAATCGAGTTCCTGTTTCATCCCTCATCGCACAAAATACTATTTTAAGGTAGCTTGCCCGTAACCATAACAATAGTACAGCGAGGCGTATGTCTGTCTCTTTCTCGCATAGGCAGGCAACTGCTCGCACTATTCAAAATCAATGACTTTACGCACATTTTGTTTAATTACTCATTAGTTAGTTCGATAAGCGGTAATTTTTAACATACCAATCGAAAGGTAGTGACTAGAAGCATAACATACTCATTTTTGATGAAGATCTGTTGTTTAATAAAAAAAGTTATGGCCTAAAATGTATGAAATTATAATGGCCTCCCATAAGAGCCCATGTTTAATTTGCTATTTTCTACGGCTTCGTTCTCAAAAATTAGTTCGATAACCCATGCTGAAATTTCTACAGCATATCAAGGGCACTTTAAATGACATTTCTGCAAAGTTTCATAAACATCTGTTGTCGAACCGTTTTACTGATGAGCCATCTTAAATAAAGCTTACTATTTAAATGTCTCAAAACCATGTTTTATACGAATTATGAATTAAGAAGCTTGTAAAAAGCAATTGATTGTAATAACTCAAAAATGACTAAATAAATACGACATTTAATTAAATTGTGTGCCACAGCGCTATTTTATTTCTTTATGACATAATAATGAACAAAACATGAAAATACTGATTGCTAAATTGGTTGACCACAAAATACAAAAGATAATCCAAAAATTGTTTGGATTATCTATCTAAAAGACGCTGGGCTTGATGATAGCCAAACGTTTTGCGATGCAGCTTCCTCATTTTGCTAAACAGAAATCGAGGCTCACATTTACTCATGAGTAATTATTCAAAGGCTTTTGTTACACGCGAAGACAATATAATAACGTTAAACCATGGCTAAAAGACCTATTGTATACATATATTATATGCATCGACAGCAACTCTACAAAGTTCACACGCGCGCATATTGTGTTGTCTATAATAGTCCTTGTGTGGAGGAATAGGATGCGAATTTATCTGTATGTGACGCGCAAGTCTTGCGTCTATGTGATATTAAAACTGAATCGATCCTCTATAATAATACATATCTTCTCTCTCTCTCTCTCTTTTTCTCTGTTTCTCGTTACGAGTGAGCGAGAACGCGTTAAAAACCCGTTTTAGAAAGTAGAAAACTGGTCGAGCTGGAAATCGGTTGTATAATTGCAGCTGCGATCGATCGTTCGTGCTGTGTATGTTATATCTGCATATTATATGGAGTGCATATGTGTGTATGCGGCCTTACCGGCACACATTAGGCGCTGCAGCTCAAGCAAACATTATAAGTTTGCTTTGCTCAAATAATAACACGTGTCCTATTTCATTTACGCGATTATTTTTTCTCTCTCTCTGCTTCTTTTTTTCAACCATCTACGGCGTATGCGTGAAGCATGGCTTGAATGGCATGTAAACAGCGTGCGCAGTGCTAGACTCGTCCGCATATGTACACACGAGAATCGCGAAAAAGTATATATGATTATTGAATTCCAATGAAGCTTTTCTTTGGTGCTAGTAATGCGCGAGGATAGCATACGCATACAGCTTCCACATATCCCGTGCGCATTAAACATCCTGTGTAATCAAACTTAAATAATAATCCAAGGTGGTGCATGATAGTCTGTCTCCTACTCCAAGTGCGCATGCCTACATGAGTGTATTCTATAGCTAGTCGAGTTTTCTTCCAATTATCATCTCCCCAATGCACAGACGTAATAAATGATAAAATACAAAGGAATCACATCAGCTTTGCATTCACAGAAAACTAGAATATTTTTATATTAATCGACGTAGAGCGTAGGTGTGATGTGCCATTGATTTTTAAATCAATACCCAAGTGGAAGGTTGTGGGTTATTTTTTATACGTCTCATTGCGAGTTAAGATTCCATTTAAATTTTTCTCTCTTCCGATATGTATAGTAATATCCGTTTTCACTTTATGTAGCCAAACTAATACCCAATTAAAGAACAATTACCGGGATTAATAACCAGTTAAGGAAAGATTATCAGAATTTTCTAAAAATCGATTTTTTTTCCTATTCTTTTGACTCCTTATACCTTCAAGAAGCCCCTACTCCAATAATTTTTCTATATTCGAACATTAACTTATTTTTTAATGACTAAGTGATCTTGCAGCGCGCATATAACTTTTAGTGAATACCAACAGCTTTAAACGCTTTTTTTTCGAAAATATGATTACATGTGTATTTATACACTGAGGACAATTAATTACTGGATCTACTCGTTCAACGCGTACCGAATTTTGCAAACTTGTTCATTTACTTATCCAGTACAGTAATTTACTACAATCAAACAAAGAACAGAAAATTCATATAAATATAAAATGAGAAAAGTCCACAAAAAATGTTCTCTAATGTTTTTTTTTTTGGTCTAATGATCATGTACATATATCGGGAAAAAAACTCAATTCGACAGTATACAATCTTTCTTTGATGAGCTTGCACAGTAGCGTGGGCAGCTCGCGACAAGTGTTTCGAATTTTCAATGCGCAAAGTATCCCAAGTATATATTTGTGTGTGTATTTATGTATAGCAATGGGCCCTTGCCACTATACTTTTCCCCTTATACAGTAAATTATCCGCACACATTATACAGCACGTAATCCGAGGGTTAAGAAGGCTAGACGTGGCTCGACCTCTTTTGCTCAAAAGCTGCGTTTACACTGCACACACGCGCACACATCTAGCATAGTTGGTGCGCGCACGGGCCACGGAAATGTTAAGGTCCGGCATACTACACAAAGAGCGCATTAGCCGAGCTCATAAAATAAAATGGCCAATATAGCGTAGGAGAGTGCGGGTGCAAGCAGCCAAAGGCTCGTTTTCATTCGCTGCACCCAGCACATGTACGTAGACTGCTCGGATGAAATAAAACAGAGAAAGAGAGCGAAAAAAAGAGAGGAAAAAAGTAGGTATTCGGTGAAGTGAGACTCGGACGTGAGCTGGCTGTGACTTCGAGTGTACGTAAGTACGCGTGGAGGCATTAAAACCGATTTTTCACCTCCCGCACGATAGATGTGCATTAGTCGTATAGAAGCTACAGGATGGACGAGCAAAACGGCTCGTCTCGCAGTCCTGCTGTTCATATGGGTACGCAAAAAGCGAGAGTCAATTTTTCAATGAGAAACCTGAGTCTTATTAAACAATAAGAAAATTACATGCCAAAGTAAAGAGCTACTATACGATACGCGTAACGCTATACGTGTATAAGCCGCATGTGCGCGTACTGTATGTAGCGAACGAGGCTGCTTATAAAGAGCCGTACATACTTTTGAAATTACTTGATATATAAAAGCTTTTGTACCGACGTACTGCTGCTGCTGCCGCTGCTGTTTCTGCTTTGCACGCAAAAGCACAATGAGAGAACGGCGTCGAGTATATTAAAGCGACTCGTAAACGCATTCGCTCGTATCATCCCGCACGCGCGCGCGCCTCATGGTAATTTTCGTTCTCGGAAAAACGAACAAATCCTCCCGTAAGTTGCACTATAACCGCTGCTACTGCTGTAACGCGCGAGCACGTTTATAAATCGAGGATAAGAAAAGAAAAAAAAGTGCAAGATGAAAACAACGAGCCACGACTCGGAAGTTATGAATAGGAAAAAAAAAGAGTCGAAAGAGAAAGAAAGAGAAACAATGAAGTTCGAGGGGCGAGCACATTGTTCACTGTCGCCTCGTGACTCGCGCGAGGGAGGCGCACGTTATATAATATAATTGAAAAATCGGCTGCACGCGGCGGCAATGATTCAACGATATTCTGCAAATACGGCACTTTCCCGAGATATTTCCAGGGGTTGGACCACTTGAAGCTGTGTAGGTGTGAGTGACTTCACCACTACCACAAGATGAAGGAGAAAAACAATAAGAAGGAAAAGAGGAAGAAAGAACCCATAAGTAGAGACATTTTTACAACTTTTCTCGATATATTTGGATCGTTTTTATTTTTTATATGTGTAATGTCTCTCTGAAGCTAATGTCATGTTCAGGAATCTCAGCCACGAATAATTTGTAATTTAATAACGATCGAGTATTAAGAGTTATCTCAAACAATATTCATATTTTTTTACGAAATTATTTTCTTCAGAATCACTACGTACAGTTTACACTGCCGTAGACCGGTACGAAGCTCAAAAACGAATTCGGTGCTCCGCCGCTGAAATTGTAGCGGGGAAATTGAAAAAAAAAGTTTCGGAGCAGTGCACTGGGCACATAAAAGTACTCGCAGGAA